AGGATCGGCTTCCAGCATAACCTCTGGGACTGCAGCACTTGGGGACATTCTTGGTCTGGACTGTTAAAACCAGAGTGTCTGAGATTGGGCGGTGTTTTGTTTGTTTGGTTAATAAACGCTTTGAACTTTCCCACTGCCTGTCTCGCCTTAAATTCTGTGTCCAACTTCCTGAGATCATTACAACTAAAGCAGCAGCAGCAGCAAAAATGCGTGTGCTGCTTCATATTTGATGCTTGTACAAGTTTAGTTCTGATGCGCAGCTAAAGCATCTTTGCTGCTCTGGCTGCGCGGTGGTAAAGTGGGTCTCCGTTGGGCGGAGCTACCCTATCCTTTCTTTGCCTGGAACAATGGCAGCTATATTTGGTGTGATCAGTGGGTAAGAAGTAGTTTGAATCTATTTTGAAGTGAGAAAGTCCACCTGAAAACATCGTCATTTCATCCAGATTACCATCCTGCCTTCAAATATTATTTCTGCCGGCGCCGCTCAAACCCCCGTGAACCAGCGGTTCATTGTCACTATGAATCCCATTCAACAGCAGCCTCTGGCCCAGTCGCCTCCTTGCGGTTTGCCACAGCGGCTAGAAGACGTTTTTCTTGTCTGTAATCCAAACTGCAGGCACCAGGATAATAAAAGCAAACATGTTTTGCTGGCAGATTTCAGCATTTTAAGTTAATTAAGGTGTTAATAAACTGTTTCAGAGGCGTTATCATGGCGATCTGCATCATCAGCGCTGCTCCTGCTGCTCTAGACGCGCTGTAGACAGAATGTGCGTTCATGTGTTTTGAAGGCGTGGTTTCAAGGGGGTTTCAAGGGAGAGGTATGGTTGTGTATCTTTAAAAATATAGCTTGCTGGAACCTTTTTTCCAAGATCTCCTACTGTACCTTTAACATGATACATTTTGGAGAGATTTTGGTTTTAAAAAACTAATAAAAACTAAACTAAATATATCACATTACAAAAGTAACTGAAACTAAAGCTATTTTGAATGGAAGTAAATAAAAATGCATAATGGATCACAATAGATTTTGTATTTGAAAAAATATATCAAAGGGCAAAGTCATTCTGAAATAGAATTAAAAAAAAATTCCTACCAATAGGAGTAAAGTTATCAAAGTACAAGGAGTAAATCATTTCATTTACTAAATGGATATAGTTATTCTATATACATTTGGCTTCTCTGTGTCCTTGCTGTGCAGTTAATGACAGATGATCATGTGATCCTGGACTCTGATTAAACAGAAACCCACAGGGTAGGAAAAACAATCCTGGAGTCTTCAGCTTCCACTCAATGCAAACAGAGAGCCAGCCGTGCTGCACACAGCATGAGGAAGACAAACAACACACACAAAGGAAAACAAAGCCAACGCTGCCTTTCAGATCCACAAATACAAACAAACACACAATAAAACAGGTGAACTGAGGCTGATAATACTGTGTGCCTGAGAGCTCAATTTAGACCAAGCTGGCAGTTTGGCACACTGGGTCCTACTAGACTGTAAAACAAGAATAACGGCTGGAAGAGGCACTGTGGAGGTATTATCTTAGATAACAAGGGGATGAAATGATAATTGGAAGCATGAAATACCAGACAGGGTACTTAAATTAAAACAGAGTTAATAAAGAGCAGAGCACAGAGATATGAGAGATTTTACAGTTTAACAGGAAGCAAACCTCTTACCCAGCATGCCTTTGTTTGGCTCTGACAGGCACATGTCCTTCTCCGCACTGGGAAGCACAAAGCCGACCACAAAGATCTCCACACCATCCGCCATCAGCGCCAGTCCCAGAACAAAGTAGAGCGTCCACTGGAACTTCCCATGGCCGCACTCCTGAAGGATGGTCTCGTACTGCTGGGCCAACTCCTCGCGATCCTTCCTCACCTCCCCCTCAAAGGCTGAGAGGTCCCTGAACTGCTGCGCCTCAGCGACCCCCATCCCATCCATGCCGCCAGTTTTCCCAGAGTCTGCCCTTGGAATGCCCTGGTACTCCCCCTCATAGATCTCATCATCCTCATCATGCCCTTCGGTGGAATCGCTGTGGCCTTCGTCATCGTTGGCTCGGCTGTCATTTCGATAATATCCCCCGTCGTTGCTTGGCACACCTGCATAATCGTCGTCGTCGTCTTCCTCCTCGAAGCGCTTGTAGGAGCGTTTGACATATTCGTCTGCCATCTTGTCCACTCCACGGCCTACCTTTTTGCCAACCTGCTTCTTGGCAACTTTGGCAATGTCTTTGGCGCCGCGGATGAAGTCTGAGCGGCCATCTCGGTAGCGCCCGTCATCGTCCATCTTAGATACTTGGAGGTTGTGAGGAGATGCTGTAGAGAACAGGGGAGATCAGCACATGCGGGTGTGCCGGGAATTCTGTGGAATGATGCAGGCAGGACGTGGACGGCTCCCTGCACTGCTGCTGGTCACCACTGAGACACCAAACCCTGGAAAAGCAAAGAAACACGGCATGTTAGTAGCTGTCAGCGGCCTGTGAGTATAACTCATGACAAGAAGAAACACTAAAGCTCAAATCATTTTCATGAAACAAGCTTAACTCTGACTGACAAAAAGCAATCAAATGACATTTCAAGAAATGTTACTTAAAACAGACAGTAGTACCAGGAAAAACAAGTCCAGAGAGATATATCAGAGGAAAATGACATGGGCTTAGAAAGAGTCTTTTGGAGTGAGAGGACTCCTAGGAGCTATTTCATGCACTGATGGTGGCAATCCAAGCTGTAGCCACAACTCCCCTGGGGCACACTGACAAGCCCTCTGAACACCATCGGTAGGCATTAAGTCTTAGACACAATGGCTTGACCCAAATATCTCAAATCAGTAAGGACACATAAACAATGGCAGAAAAGCAGCAGCAGTAACCAAGTCCTATTGTGCCGGCAGTAAGGAAGGAACTAGGACGAAGGAGAAGGATACTAACCTGAATCCGCCAGATGGATTTGCTCCATCCGTTGAAGTAATTTTGGGAAGGGGCGAAAATCCTGGTTAGCTGATTGGCCTATGTTAGTGATAGACGGGCCAAATAAACCAATCAGATCAACGAAGCATACGACGTACTAACAGAGCGACGACGAAAACACAACCACAAGCCAGGGTACTCTTGCCGAAACCAGTCGGGAGAAGAGCAAAAACATCTTTTCCTCTGAGAAAAGCCTCCAGAGCAGTGTTTTGCTCTTCTTTCAGTGAAGAAATACTCTGTAATTCCGATAAAACTTGCTCGATAGCCACGCTAACGCTAGTTTCATCGGCTGAAGCCGCCATGTTCTTTAGACTGAACTGTCGCGCTTCTCGTTGCGTCACACCTCAACCCGCCTCAAAGCCAACGCTGATTGGACGTTCGTTTGGTGAACGGCTCCAAATTTTCATTAACGGAGAGTCTCCAGACTGATTAGCGAGTGAAACCTTGAAAGCTCGCGAGATCAGGATGGTCTCACGAGGCTAGAAGGATACTACCTGGAGCCAATTCATGTGGCAAAGGAACCTTGTTCCTAGCCACTGCTAGAAGCACTATGGTTTCCCACAATCCTTTGCATGACAGGATGTAGGCCCATAAAGGATTTTTTCATGTGTGACACTTGCTAATTTACTCACCTTCATCTTTTTTTGGTTTAATAATGCTTAGCTGCTGCCGCTTCAGTAACTTCTGTTTAATTCAAAATTGTTTTAATTGAACTTTATTGATCTCACATTGGAGAAATTTACATACATAGAGGGGGAAAAAAAACTTTTGCGAGATCCTGCAATACTTTTGCGAGATCTCGTAAAAGTACTGCGGGATCTCGCAGAGTTTATTTTATCCTCCATGTCCCTTTAGGGGCCCCGTAGGATTGCATACTGACATTGTCTCTCTTTATTCGTGTAATGTCGTCTTTTGGGACTTCTCTAGAAATTAAGAACCTCTCCAAATCATCCTCCATGGTTGTAGCTGACACATGGGTGTATTATCCTCCCATAGCAGTACACTTTGTGCCTCTACTGTTGTGTGTCTGTTTTACTTCCACAAAAGTATCGCGGGATCTCACAAACATTTCTTTTTTCATCCATGTCCCTTCAGGGGCTCCGTAATATTGCCAGAAAGAACACTGTAAAATAAATAAATAAAAATTAAAATAAAAACCTCTCAGAACTCCTTTCTTTTCCTTTAGTGACAACAGTTAAAAATTTAAACATTATCCAACACTGAATCATTATGTTAGGCATCTTCCTCTTTGTCAGGTGCTGGCACTTTCTGATCGGAGCAGGATAAGTTAATTCAGGGATGTTAGTGATCCATCTATCAACAGGCAGCTTTTAGCAAGCAAACAGACAGCAGGCAGTTAGGCCCCGAGAGAAGATGGATGAGGGAGAAAAAGATAATAAAAGAGCTAAAACACAACACCATCAGTTTTAAAGCAGTGTGTAAACGGAAAACATCCACTCAATAAGCTGCACTAACAGCTTCATCCACTTCACCGACATCAGCAACACGACGCTAACGGACCTGTTTGCTGTTTTCTGTTAGAGGGAGGATTTGCCACATTTATATCTAAAAGAAGAACCTCCAGCTGGATGTTAGGCTCACCTCAGATTGAACTATGTATTAATGATTAAATGAATTAATGAATAAGTTCAGAAAAATCATTTATCCATTTTATCCCAATTGGGGTCTCGAGGGGTGCTGGTGCCTATCTCCAGCAGTCAATGGGTGAGAGGCGGGGTCCACCCTGGACAGGTCTCCAGTCCATCGCAGGGCAACACAGAGACAAACAGGACATACAACCATTCACGCACACACTTAAGGAGAATCTAGAGAAGCCAATTAACCTAACAGTCATGTTTTTAGAATGTGGGAGGAAGCCGGAGTACCCGGAGAGAACCCACACCTGTAACAGAGGGAGATGAGGGCCAAAAAGAGCGGGGATCCAGGTGGAAAAAGGGTCCAAGCGTTCTCGTGCACTTCGCTCTTCTAGCTGGTCAAACTTCACGAGTGGTTTTCCACAATGGCGGTAAAACAAACAAAACAAGCCGGTAAGAAACCAAACAGGAAATACGCATAGTGTAGAGCAGATGTAGATTTGACCAATCAGAGGCCTCCTGTCGGCAGTAGGGCTGGGCGATATAGAAAAAAAGCTTATCGATAAAAAAAAAATGCATATTGATCGATATCGATAATTATTGAAAAGATTTGAAACCATATTTTATGTGCAGCTCTGCCTGGACTTTTTATGATATTGCTAAATGATTTAATTATAATGAAGAACACAAACACAGACTTCTAATTAAATCTTTATTTAACCAACTTTTTTAACCATAACAGAATTGTTTTAAAGAAAAATAACTTAAGAGACCTGAGTTATGTTATTAAATGCTGACAAAGAATAAACTAAAGTGACCAGAAAAGTAACCAAAATAAATATAACAAATAAATAAATGGAACCGCCCCACCCCCGCATTCTTCTAAGCTGAACCTGGTTCAGCTTAGTTTCCTGCTTTAACCAGAGTTATTAATTTGAAGTTTCTGGCCCCTCAGCATCTTTCTCTCAATCGTTAGAACTACGTGTGAAACTGCCCAGAACTGAAAATATATATATATATTTTTCTGGAATTCCCGAAGATTCCTCGGAGGAGAGCCGCGCCGGGGCCTCCACAGCTCGTACTCCTGCGTGTGTGAGCGGCTGAGATGATAAAAAAACGTTGGTTGTGTTATCATACTTAGTTTTCACTGGTTCCCGACACATTTTACAGATGACTGTGGTTTGTTTTTTGTCCGACTTGCCATGACCGAAATACTGCCAGACTGCCGAACTACAAAAACCCTTCTTTGGAACAATTTCCTCCGCCTCTCCTTGCTGCGACATCTTCATGTGCGTCTGTGTTGTGGTTTGAGAGGGCGGCGCTTGGTGACGGCGTGCCTGGGTCCGCGAATGTTATTGGTTGGGAGGAAGTAGTGACTAGCATAAACCTACATGCTAGGCTACAATGAGAAGGAAGGGAAACTGCGTTTTTTTAATCAAACTTTTATCGACCCTCTTTTTTTCTATTGCGCCACACGTCTATCGATCGATATATATCGTTATTGAATTATCGCCCAGCCCTAGTCGGCAGCACTGTCTGCGGTCACCTGCAATGTTGGAGAGGTGCAGCAGAGTGTCTGCGGAAGGGGCGGAGGCACATTTGCGTTCACTGCGACACACATATAGATGAGCTGGTTTCTGAGTATAAATCAGCCTTTAGCTGGTGATGCGATGCAATCTAGGAGAGCAGCTCTACTCTGGTCAGCTGCTCTCTGCTGACTCAGTTTCTGGACATGTCAATACAAAAATAAATCATGTTTCTTCTCCATCTTAAAGGAAAAAAATTGCATAAAAACAAGTCTGCATCTTCTGTTTTATGCCAGTCAGTCACATGACCTAAAAGCTGTTGAAGAAAAACTTGCTAATAGCTTGGAGGCGAACGCAACTTCAGGAGCCTTCCTTTCAATAATAAACATGTCTGCAGAACAGCAAAACTAGAATGTGAACAATCAGCAAAAATTACTGTGTGTTGCTTTTCTTTGAATACTCCACATACAATATTAACAGTTAAGTATTTAGATGGTTTTCTGTTCATCCTGGTTTAGCTGGAGCTTCATGTTTGCAGATGAATTCTGGAGTATTTCTACCTCAAAGCTTTGTGTCTTTGAAAGCCTTTCAAACATGGTTTCTGTTGGATCCAAATGCTTAGTTTATGATTGAATATTTATTTCTAGTTTACTATTTTTGTCTGGTTTTGGTATGATATATATGAACATGAAATATTTGAATAATAATGAAATTATGAATTTGTTTAGTTGTGTTTTGCTGCCATTCATGATTTTCGCTGTTTCTGGCCTCCGCCCCTTCATTATGGACAGGTGACTGCTGCACCTGGATTATATTGGAGTCGGCTATTGGGGCCGGGTGAGCACAGCAATACAGTTTTTCACCGCTTTTGATTATTGTTGTTTTTTCTTTGAGTGGCAAAAAAGGAACGAAATGAGCCGATATGATCTTCCTGTCACGTCATATTGCGGTAAGAAAATCTAAGTTTGTTTTGATTTTGGAAAATAAAGCGTCTTGATCAAGAGGAAAGAAAGTTTGCTGATTGCATGGATGACATTAAACAACATCTGACAGATCTGAAGTGAGTCTAACTTGGATGCTTCTGAACCAAGAGCCAAACGCATCTTTATTGGAAAGATTGCGCTATTAGTTTCAATAGTTCAACATAGGAGACAGATCTTAGACCCTGGTGTTTTCTGGGTGAACTTCCTCCTACCTTCT